CATTGTGATAAAACAACGGTACCTAGAGCCATCAAAATTTGAATAGCGTAATCTTCCATAGAATATAGGCATGTGGAAGCCCTAATTTGAATTTTTTTTTTTTTTTTTTTCCTTTGAGAACATATAGACTCCCCGTGCACCACATATGTACAACACGGGGCTTACAGAAGTAAGTTATTAGAACATTAAGGTTACATGTATAAATAAACGTTAAAAATTGCAAGCAAAAATAAAGCGAACAAAAGCAGAGAACAGCAGTCTGGACTTCACGAAAACAGATAAGTTCACTGGCCAAGTCGTTCCGAACGTTTTTCAGATCGTTTCTGTAAGCATAACCTAGGGCCGTCTAATGTAGGGCACGAGAAAATCAAATGTTCCACATCCTGACGAACTCTTTTTGAACATTCACATAAATTGTTTGATCGTAGATTAAAACGAAACAGATAACTTGCAAATTTACCGTAACCAGATAAAAACTGAGACACTTTAAAATTTAACGAGAGGAAAGACTCGAAATTCAGTCTATGGTAAATAGAAGGAAAGAACCTTTTGGTGACTTCAGCATTACAAGATGAAATGTATTCCTCATTCCACATAGCTAAAAGCTTTTTATAATGAAAGGACTTCCAATAGCTCTTTGGAATGCTAATGTTGATATCAATGGGTAAATTTAAGGCATCTTTAGCTAAGAAATCAGCTCTTTTATTTCCGTAGAAACCATGATGAAAGCACATAAGCAAAGCAGATATCAATACCTCTAATTCTAAGTGAACTAACAGTTATTAGGGTTTCGATAACTAATTTATCGCAGCTGGTAATACTGTTCAAAAGTTGAAGAGAAGAAAGAGAATCAGAACAAATAAGGTACTTTGAGGATGTTGTCCCATGATCCTGGATCCATTTGACGGCAAGATAAATGCACAGAAGTTCTGCTTGAAAAACTGTACATTCATTCCGTATACGGTGTCTAAGAAAGCAAATCTCGGAATGGCCTTCAAAAAGAACAAATGCAAGGCCAACCTTGTTGTTCATCTTGCTGCCATCTATAAAGAAAACCATATGAAAACTTATTTCAGCAGTCTCTATATAATCGCAGAAATTTATGGGTTCTAAAGAAGCGGGATGAGGAAGATCAGTGAAGAGGACAATTGCATTAATACAGTCTTCCGAAGCATGAGTTGCCAATGACTCAAAAATATTATTCTTATATGCAATTTCAAAATCAATAGGCGGAACTCCTGCAAGAACAAAAGTAGCCTCATAGCTTAAGGTTCTATAACCACTAATAATACGAAGAAGAATTCTTCGCTGAATCTTTCTTAAATTTCTTTTGTTAACCTTCTTGGCAAGAACATGTCCCCAAGCACGACAGCCGTACGAAATTAAAGGTACAATACACTGCTTATACATGAGTTTCTTAACATCGTAGCTTACTCCAAAAGTATTTTTGGCAATTCGGTGAAAGCCATTAATAATTTTTTCACATTTAGCAGAAAGGAATTCAATGTGCTTTTTCCATGTTAATTTTTGGTCAAGAATGACACCAAGATATTTAACATTTTCTACAAATTCCAACGGAGAATTATCGAGCATTCAAAGAAGCAATATTTTGTTCATCAAACGTACTGGGAACAAGCATAGCTTTACTTTTTGAAGGATTGAAAGTGAGTTTATGAGAAATCGCCCAACTGGAGACAAAATCTAGAACTTCTTGTGCTCTCAAAAGAATGTTATTCAAAATCCTTCCTTGGAAAATTAATAGTAAGTCGTCTGCGAACGCAATTTTTAAACAACCGTCGAGATGACTTAAAAGATCATTTGTGATTATGTTCCAAAGAGTAGGTCCGGATACAGAGCCTTGAGGACAGCCTTTTTGTAGAGAATAAGCTGAAGCTCAGCAGTCCTCTCGTTCAAGAAGCTTTTAAGAAGGTTATAGATATTATGTGGTATACCAGCATCTTTTAAAATTTTTAAGATAGATGGCCACCAAGCATTATCACAAGCTCCTTTGAAATCCAGGAAAATAAGAAGTGTAGTATACTTCATTTTCTTTGCACACTGCAAGATATTACAAAGGCGAATAATGGCGTCTTCAGCGGACTTCCGAAGAGTAAATCCGAACTGAGAATCATTATAAAAGCATTTTTGTCTCAAATACCAATTTATTCTGTTAATGAAGAGAGTTTCAAGACATTTTCCCAAAGAAGCAAAAGACTAATGCATCTAATATTATCAAGATAAGGGGTTCTTGTATCTAAAGTTTTAGGAATTAAAACAACCCGAGTTCTCTTCCATTGTGCTGGAAAAACTGCTAATTATAAACAAAGATTGAAAGGTCTGTGTAGAAATGTGCTATTCACCGCATGAAAGTGCTGTACAATTTCATTAGAAAGAGAGTCAAGCCCAGTCTAATTTGAATTTGAAATTTGTTTTATTAACGATTTCATATTTTGGAACACTTTAACGAATTTTTGATTAACGAACTAAACGATTTCAGAGCGAGCAATGGCAACACTCTACGGAAGGAGATTAAAGAAACATTTTTATCTCCAACTTGCGAGACTCTGTATCAAAAATTCTAAAGGATATGCTCATTTTAAAATTATTTTGCGATATTGCTGTTGAACTGAATTTTGTGGTTTCAGTGCGAAGAAAACATGATATTTCATAAATAAAGGTCGTACACAAAATGCTTAAAAAAACGCCCCTTTGGACGTAATTTAAAATCTGAAACCTTTCATATTTTTTGCTATTTATTTATTTTATTTTAAACTTTTTTATTATTTAATATGCTTTTGAAAGTCGTTTACTTATTTTGTACCAGTTAAATGATAAACTGCTGCTCTTGAGTTATCAAAATATTTTATGCAAATTAGAGACCTTCTCGAATTTTTCTTTTTGTTTAAAACCATTGAAACATTTATGAAAGGATGCTGTATTGTTTCAGTTTCCAAAACCTTTCAGGACACTGTTATAATTTTCTACACAATATATTTCAGTTTAAAGTGTATTCTTAATTTCTGGAGAGGTGTTTTAATTAATTATGCAGTTTTAATTATCAAGTGCTTATTTTAATTAATTAGTTAAAGATAATGATACCAATTATATTTTTAATACTTTATGTAGTTCATTTAATGTTGTGATTGTTAAGTGTAAATTTCTTTTAAACTTTCAGCCGAAATTATGGTTTTAACTGGCTTAACGTTTTATTTAGAAAAACGATTCATGTTTTAATTGCGGTATTCATTGTAATATTGACAATTTAAAATTAAAACAATTCGTTTTTCTACCTGAAATTACATTTTGTTATGCTCAACTAATTGGCAATTTACTGTACTTGAAAATATTGCAATTCTTTTTCCTTAATTACTGATAACTCATGCCTTCAGTTGGAGATATTAAAAAGAATGAATGAGAAGGGGGCAATAAAAATCATTAGTTTTGTAGTCCACCAGCCCACCTGTGAAGAAGATAAGCTGGAAACATCTGAATAAACAGAGGGATAAAAGTTCCTTCGGAAAACGTCAGATGCTATTAAGTCCAAAGCTGAGTCTGATGCAATCCAAAGATTAGATTCTGAGATCAGATGCCATTTTGAGGTGCAAACATGATGTCTGGTGCAGTCCAAGATGAGATTGAGGTCAGATGCTATTCTGAGGTTTAAAGCTGAAGTCTGATGCAGTCCAAAGGTATGATTCTGACGTCAGATGCCATTTTGGTATGGTGTCAGATGCCATTTTGGTATATGGTATGACGTCAGATGCCATTTTGGTATTTTGCCATTTGGTATGGTGCAGTCCAAGATAAGATTCTGAGGTCAGATGGTATTCTGAGGCTCAAAGCTGAGGTCTGATGCAGTCGAAAGATATGATTCTGACTGCAGATGCCATTTTGAGGTCCAAACATGAGGTATGGTGCAGTCCAAGATAAGATTCTGAGGTCACATGTTATTCTGAGGCTCAGAGCTGAGGTCTGATGCAGTCCAAAGATATGATTCTGACGTCAGATGCCATTCTGAGGTCCAAATATGTGGTCTGGTGCAGTCCAAATGAGATTTTGACGTCACATTCTATGCTAAGGCTCAAAGCTGAGGTCTGATGCAGTCCAAAAATGAGATTCCGAAGTCAAATGCTGAGTTCTTCGCCATTCCTATTTATAGTGTTAACATAAACTGCTCGCTTTAATCTGAATGCAGAAATCTAATGATATAAATCACTTTTGTATAAAGTTGGTGAAAGGACTTATTGTTGGGAAATTTAACTTTCCTTATTTCAATTGCGTAGCCTTTCATTAAAAAAAAATCTTGACGCCTTAAAGAAAATGAGATTAACAGAGAAATATTTGTGGGCTGTTTGAATAAAATTATTCTCTGTTGGAATATAAATGATCGGAATTTGATTCTAATTAAGAAGTGAGGCCTCGTTTTTCTAAATTTCTTGTATTTGTATATGCATAGTCAGATTCTGATAATTTAGAAAATAGGTATAAAAATGAAGTATATTAAATGTTCGGCTTCATATATTTGTTTGAAACAGAATGATATTCGTTCATTGAGTAAATTTCTCTCTGTAAAGTGTTATTTAGAATGTGGACGAGTCTGATTAAGATGATGTCTTTGTTTTTACCTCTCAAGGTCGGATAAACTTTTCTAGAGTATTAAAATAGTTTTAATTATCAGTTTCATTTATGGTTTAAAACCCATCACTTGAAATAATAATAATAATAAAATTAGGACAGTAGGATGACATTCTGATACTTGCTGAAAACAAAACAGATGAAAAAAAAAAAAAAAAAAAAAAAGTGGGGGTTGAAAATCATTGTATTAACTAATCTGATGCTTGTATTTAAACAAGACACATATTGTCATTTCATTTATGACAACATATTTTCATTTCTGTCAACAGGAATGAGTGACCATTACAAAAATATGCAATATTAATAGAAATTGTATGTCTTATAATTGATTTGTATATTTGTAATGTTCTGAATTCTCTGTTTAGGTGCAATAGACAGAAGTAAAGAAAATGGAGAATGACAAAGACTGCCGACTCTCAAAATCATGTAACCAGAAAATTGAGGATGATGGGAGTTTGCCATCATCTACGTATATTATTTTCTTTATATTAATTATCGATTTGCTAGGATTTACAGTTATTCTGCCTTTGTTGCCTGCCATATTTGAATATTATGACTCTAATGAAAAGGTAATTAGTAAATGGATTTAATTTCTGTTATAATGTTTTTAAATAGTATTTTTTAGAGTGTTATCAGAGTATGTCATAATGTTGCTGTTAGGTGATCCACATTTTTTAGAAAATATAAAAAAATTAGCTCCCAACCCCCAATTTTTTTTTTTTTTTTGGCTGTTGAAGAAAATTATTTTTTTAAAATTATATATATATTTTGTCCTGAAAGCCATAAGAAGGAAAATTTATGTGTAATTTTCTCATTCGCTTCCCAACAAATTTCCCAATCTGAATCTAATTTTAATGGTTTTGCGTTATATTAAAATTCAAAATTATTAGAAGTAAGGTTACAAAGACATTAGGTATTTTGGAAACAGAAGATGAAAAATGAGCAATCGCCTTGGTTTGGAATCGAACCGCGGACCTCTGGAATACCGGCCCAGCCTGCAAAACCACTACACCACGAAGACACGCTAGTAAGGCGGGAGAAATACCTTATATACTCCCCCCTTTTAAAGGGCGACTGGGGTTTTTAGGGTGACCCAGTCGCCAAATCCTGGATGAGGAGAATCATCATCCAACACCCTTTTAGTTCGGGCTCCACTGTAGAGTCATTAGGTATTTTTTGGAAGCAGTAAAGATGAAAAACTAACAAAGCCGTCGCCGGGATTCGAACCACGGATCTCTGGAATACCGGCCCAGCGTGCAGAACCACTACACCACAAAGGCACGCTAGGAAGACGGGAGAAATACCTTACATACTTCCCTTTTAAAGGGCTCCACTGTAGAGACATTAGGTATTTTGGAAGCAAGCAAGATGAAAAATGAGCAATCGCTTTCTCCTGGAATCGAACCACGGACCTCTGGAGTACCGGCCCAGTGTGCAGAACCACTGCACCACGAAGGCGGGAGTAAATATCTTATAAGATAAGCAGAAGAATTGTAATGATTCTCCTTTTTGGAAGTTAAACATAAGCAGAAGATTTGTAAGTTTTTGAGCTTATTAACAGACTTATAGTTAATGCACTTTTTATAGCAGTACATTAAATATAGGTCTGTTAATAGGTTTCATTTTATAAATCATTTCTGTATTTAAATGGCATAAATATACATTCTGAATGATAATGATTGTTATATTTTTTTTTTTTTTTTTCTTAAAGTTTCCTCAGGAGGGAAAAGGAAAGCTGCAGAGGGAACTTCACAATTTTTATTAAAAATATGTTTTTGTTTGTAAATGCCGCGCATTTAAGCATTTATTTACAAATTAATGGAATTGAAATATCTTACATTAGTTTAAATGTGTAAATAAAATACTGTGCAGTGATGATCATTTATTTACTTAAATAACCCTAATTACATAAAAACCTGGGTACTATTCGGTTTCGAGGGCCGTAAAAAATCGCCAAACTATTGTTGATGCCAATGCTGCCAAAAGTAATTGCGGCAACCCTAACGCAAGAAAGGAAGTATAATAGTAAATAACTATCTAAGATTGATGTTTTAATTTAGATGAAAGGTTAATTTTATATAATATTTCGCTACCGAGTTATCGCTAAAGCATAATGTCATCTCGTTGGTTGTTCAAACATAATTTTCTATAATGAATGATGTCTTTTCTTTGAAAACATTCTCGGTAAAATGCAGAATCGCCCGCTTATTTGTTTGCCGCTCTTTACAAGGGTAAAAACAATTGGATTTTTGTCAATTTTCTTTTACTTTTTAAGTGACAATAGGTCGATGTGTACATAGATAAAGTCAAGGATGTGCGCAGTGCCATTTTTGTGCAATTCTGGGTTTTTTTTTAAGTGAAAATAAGTCGATGTGTACATGGATACCGAGTATGTGCAATTCTTAAAAACGTGTCAAGCACTGGGTGATTCTGCACTTTACCCAAAATTTTATCGCAGACTTTTCATCATGGGCAATTTCCAAATTGTTAAATCCATAGAATATCAAAAAAGGAATTAAAAATTAAACTAGTATCTCAATGGCGTCTTAAGAAATATAGAACTACACTGACTACCAATAAGTATTTGGACACCTGTGATAGAAAAGAAAAACTAACTTTATTCAAAATCAATAGTTGGTAGAGCCTCCACGAGAGGTAATTACAGCGTGGACCCTCCTTGGCATACTTTCCACAAGTCTTTGTATTACAGCTAGTGGTATTTTCTTCCACTCGGCTTGGAGAAGACATAGAAGTTCCTTCACCGATTTTGCACGGGTAGTGCACCCCTGAATTCGGCGATGCAACTCGTCCCAGAGGTTCTCGATAGGGTTCAGGTCTGGACTCTGGGCAGGCCAGTCCATTCGATGAACTCCATTGGCACCATACCAAGCCTTGGTTAACGTCGAAACATGACAACTGGCATTGTCGTCCTGAAAGTAGCAGGGGTCCAACCCGTAAAACTGCCACAACGTAGGAAGCACATTGTCATCCAAAATAGTGCAATAGGGATCAGAGTTGAGCTTACCATGAATGGGGACCAAGGGTCCCAGCCCATACGAGGAAAAACACCCCCAGACCATAATTCCACCTCCGCCGAACTTGACTGTTGGTACAATGCATTCTGGCAGAAGACGTTCTCCAGGTAGACGCCAGACCCAGACCCTGCCATCCGAACGGTAAAGGGTGAACCTTGATTCGTCACTCCAAAGAACCCGTTTCCACTGATCTACGGTCTAATTTCGATGTGCTTTGCACCACATTAACCGAGCAACGCGGTTGGACTTTGTGATCAAAGGCTTATGGGCAGCAGCACGACCATGAAAAACCAAGCAGATGTGCTTCCTTACGGATGGTATTCATTGAAACAATGCTCCCGGATGCCTGTTGAAACTCCTCGCGGATGAGGGCCATCGGTTGGGTGCGGTTCTTCCGAATTTCTCTGGACAGCACTCGTCGGTCTCTATCTCCCAGTTTCGTTGGTCTGCCGACTCAGGGCACATTCCGACAATCACCGCTCACCTTCTACTTCTTAATCATATAGGCCACTGTTGATTTTGTACTTCAGATCGCTAGATATGTCCCTTAAGGATCGGCCACACTTGTGATACCCGATAGTTATACCTTTCTCGAAATCATAAAGCTCCGAACTGCGAGGCATCTTGCATGCCACTAAAGCCGATGCTGTTTCCTACACGATATATACCGGCGGAGTCCGTGACGTACCTTAGGACCGCAGATATCGTCTTTTGCATAGATGTCCAAATACTTATTGGTAGTCAGTGTATATAAACTTACGCAATCTGAAATCAGCGCCTAAGCTAGATTTGGCACGCTGTTAAATAGTCGTGTTTGCTAGATTTGGCGCTTTCGCGCATACAGTTTCGCCGCAATTTTTTTACGGCCCTCAAAACCGAATAGTACAACCTGATCATAATAAGAATGTTTATTGATGCCTATTGTTTTGTTCTTTGAAGTGAATGCGTTATCAGTTAAGTACATCTAGCAATACATTACAAATCTAAATCTATTTTTTAAAACTTTTTTCAAGTATGTAGAAATATAAATTATTTTATATGATGTTTTAAATTCTTGATTTTCAGGATCATCTGTATCATTGGATGGATGAGAAAGTACACTATTTTCAAAATTATTTTGGATCTCCAGCTGAATTCAATAAAGTTTTATTTGCAGGTTAGTACTGTGCCATTTTACTTAACTTACATTTAAGAAATCAACGTTCTTACTCTTTTTTTTATCAATTTATATAATTACATTTTTCTATAATTATTTTAATAAAAATGTTATATTGTATTGAATGCCAAAGCTGAATGTAATATAATAATAATAATAATTAATAAAAAAATTCAACCGATAAATACATTGCTAGGAATGGGAGCCAAAACTGTGGAATACATTTTCAACATTAATGCCTTTTTTTTTTTTTTTTTTTTTGCAACTTTTATGTTGCATTCCCCAGTGCTTTCATCAGTGATCTATAGTTGCATTTCTTTATTATTTCTGATTTTCTGTTATAAATTAAAAGGTTTTTTATGCCTTGAAAGAATACTGTATGAAGTTTAGCAATACCTTGAGTCATCTAGCAAAATTTATGTGGTGCCAGAACACATGAAGAGCCATATTAAAGTAATTTTAGATGCATAACCACCAAAAACTATATGCAAGAAATTAATTTTAATAAGAATATATAATAATGTAGTAAGAAATTAATGTGAATGTAATTTGGTACATTTTCATGTTTTTCTCAATATTTTTGTTATTTTTGTTCATTTTCTGCTTAGTTTTATTTTTTTTTCACATTTTCAATTTGTGCATGGCTATTTTCTTCAACAATGTCTGCTATATAACAATGTATATATATATAAAATGATCACTATGTAAGAATATGTATAGGTTTCTTTATAAAACAAGATTTTTTTATTTTAAAATTGAGATTTCTTTGTGTCGTAAGTGAGTTAATGTGTTATATTCATGTATCATGAGTGAGTTAATAATTAGGTACTGAATTGTGATAATTATTAAATTTGATGATTAACCATTAGAGCTGTTTTCTCAGAAAACCTTTTGATACTTTTTATAGTATCTCAATTACTTCTATTTCTAATAATTTTAATTAGTATGTTATAAATGAACTTACTTCAGTTATTTTGCAGGATTACTTGGATCTGTATTTTCAACCTTGCAGTTTCTTGCTGCACCTATTTTTGGGTCTATATCTGATGTATATGGTCGCAAACCAGTAATAATTATATCAATGGTATGGAAAAATAGATTCTTTAAGTTTTATAATAGAGTCATAACTGGTGAAATTTATTATTTAATTTATATGCAGTTGATTCACAATATATATATTTATTTGCTGATGATCATCAGAGAAACGTGTTAATTTATGAATTTTTTATATATTTTACAGGTTGGCATTGCGGTATCTCATGCTATTTGGTGCTTTGCTGATTATTTCTATTTATTTGTTATTGCTCGAATTGTTGGTGGATTAAGTAGAGCAAATATTTCTCTTTCAACTGCGATAGTTACAGACCTGTGTTCTGAAAAGAAACGTGGAAAAGGAATGGTATGTATTTTAGCAGTATGTAGTTTGAATATCAGTTTGGTAATAGAAACTATTTAAGATTATAATGGTAATAGTGTTTTTAGTGCTATTCAGTATTTTAATACTTATTCACACTAATGAAATAATATTCTGTCGATTTCAATAACAATGCGTCAGGTCTAATTAAGACATTTTGGGAATCTAGGTGCAGCTTTTTCTTGGAAGTTTCCAGACATACTTTTCCTCAAATGTTATAGGGAAAAGACAAAATTCTTATCACTTTTATTAGTATTAATTATATTAATATTCTTAATTTTAGGACCCTTGTGATCCCGGTCCTTAGCTGCAACTGTTTTGAAAGCATGAATAAAAATCAGGACCTAAGCAAATTAATTTAGATCATTTCAGTGTGGTTTACTTTCTGGGAAATAGTTTAACCATACATGACTTTCAGGACTTTTTAATCTGCATAAAGTCTGAATCTTAATGAGACTTTGTACTGGGCAGGCTATTTGTTGATAGTTGGTTTCTGCAGAACTCTATCTTTAAGTCTACAAAATGGTTACCTGGTCAAAATGTTGATAGTTCGTAAAATGAGTTGCCCACCTGAAAATGTCAGTAGATTGAACTTTAATTTTGCAGAATTAGTAGCCTTAATAGTATTGCTTGTAGTATGAGTTTGAATCTCAATAGAATCATGTTTCCTGCATGAGAATTTTTGTTTTCATTATGGATTGTGCCTTAGTAATTTGCCTTAGGAAATCTAGTTTATCTGTCTTTCCTCAAATCAGATAGCCATTGTGTATTTTGCCATACCTAATTATGGTCCTTTTCACTTGATTAGACATAAATGTACCCAATTGCAGATTATTTTAATTTTGGCGATGGCACATCATGCCATGCTTGGTTGAAGAACTGAACGTTTCCGCTTGGAAACTGTTAGTAAATGATTGCAGTGACAGTAGTGGTGTTTGAAACAATACTTGACAATTTATTACTCATGCCCACATTAACATAAAATTCCAATCACTTATTATGTTATGCATGTAATTATTTGCTATTCATATATTGTATTTATTATTTGCAGTTTGATCAAAACATAGATCTTTCTTCATTTGTGGTTATTAATTAAAACATTTGAATTCTTCCAGTTTCATCTCTAATTTTTTTTCATGATGGTTAGGAAGTATGAGAATTTTAGTGATTTGTATGATGTTTAGTAAAAATGTTACCATGAAGAAACCGTTTCATAGGATTTTAATTCTTGTATATTTTTTTTTTTTGTTTTTGAATTATCAACTAATTATTGCTTATCCAGGCATGAAAGTAATGAAGCTTTAAACTATTTATACATTCTTGGATATTGAAATTTCATTACATGTGGTAAGAATTGAGATATTTGAACTTCAGACTGCTGTATTCAGAATTTAGCTCTGTTATTAGTTATTGTTGAGATTCTGAATGAACTGTAAATTATTTTTTTCACTATACTTATTAAAATAATTCAAGCAGAAAATTAAATATTGCTTCCTGTTATGGATAAAATTCTTAGAAAACTCCAAATAGAACCATATAGTCCATCTGCATAAAGCTGAGAAGCCTTTATGGTTCTGTGAAACTTTGCAGAATTATTTGGTGACTTTATGTTAAGTTTTCTAAATTATAAGTTGAAAAATAAACTTCTTACTTCAGATTACATAGTGTTCGTCAGTAAATCAATCAGTGCTTTATTTAATACATCTGAGAAAGTGAAATCTAGCTTCATCTCTTGTATTAAATATGAATGTCAATTACATGTTAAAAAAGTAACTGTTTTCTTCTGATGCAGAGAAATATTAATAAATAAGTTTATCTACATTCAATATGTATATCATATCAGCATCTTCTGTAGAGGCCTGAGTTATAAATACTTTGCAGAGCACTTATACACTGGCTTCCAAAAGTTAAGCACACATTGAAAATCAGAAGTTTTTAAGAGCATTGTTGAATTTGAGCAGATGAAAATCGCTGTGGATGCAAATGTTATATGTTAAAGCCAGTTGCAAGTGACTGTCTGAACATATACTAATTAGCTAGTCATTGAAGATGCCACCATTTCGAAGGGTTGGAGGTTAATTTAAATGCTCATATAAAGCGTTTATAACTTTGGTAGGATAATTTTTTATGATATTTATAAATTTTGTGAGATAACTTTTTATGGTATTCGTGTTTCTATGGCTGAAAAAATATAAATGGCAGATAGTGGGCTGTGGCGGTCACAGTCAATCAAAGATTTTGCTCTTTTCTGTGATATTCTTCATTCACCAATTTATTGAATGTGGAAACAATTCCAAAAAATTAAAACAGCAATTCGAAGACCTATGCTCAGTTGGCCAAGAGTTAAATCATTCTGAAGATTGGTATATTGCTGTAGTAGCCAAGCAACCTTCTCGACTCTTACATCCATAGTTGCAGTCTCATTTAGTAAGACAATATCTGCCAGTACTCTGTGATGAAGACTTCAGATGAAGGGTCTATGTGCTGAACTACCAAGTGTTTGTATTCCACTAACCATGTAATCCAGAGTAAAGTTGTATCTTCAACATCTTAGTTGGAATCTGTAAGATTGATGCAATCTGCTATTCACGGACATGTCCAGATTTGCCCTGAAATCAGATGATAAGTATATAAGGGTTTGGAGAGAACGAGGGACATGTCATCAAGCTCAGAACATCATGCATTCAGATATAACAACATCATGGTGCCAGCTGGAATTTCAGTGGGATATCACACTCAATTGCACATCTTTAAAGACATCTGTGATGGTTACAGGATATCAGGGTGAAGTTGTACACCCAGTTAAATAAGACATTAAGCTGAAGCAGTTGGTTCCTATCTCCATCTTAGGGATGCTGTTCCTTCAAGTGTTATCAACAAGTGCTTGAAGAATGAAGGCATTTCTTGAGTGGATTGCCTACTATATCCCTCTGGCCTTAATCCTACTGATTTGGGATGCTCTCAGGCTGATTCTTTCTGCTCATTTACCTCCTCCAGCCAGTATTGGGTAGTTGGAAACTGGCTTACTGGATGGCCATTGTTAGCCTCTATGGTGGTTGACCACCGTATTGAAACATAACTTAAGTTTATGTGAAGGTTTGGAGTGGTCCCATACCTTATTAATGTAAGTTTTTTGCATGAATTCCTTAATGATCCAAATGTGACATCCCATAAATTGCGAAAATTAAATATTGTTTCCGTTTGTATGTTATACTTTTTTTTTAAATCCATAAACACATTTACTACCTTCATGCATGCTTGTTAATCAATGCTTTTCTTTTCCATTTTTGTTTATTTTACCATTGAATGTTTAATCTTTGGAAGCCAGTATATGAACAATGTCTAATTTGACTGCTGTATCCTAAGGTAGAGTTATTCATTAATTAACTACAGTGTCAGTCATTTTTTTAATTGGTACCTTTCTTTCTACTTTGAAAGATATAAATGAATTTGAAATTTTTGCTATGCTTAAGTAATTTTTTGTATTTTTAGGCACTTATTGGTATAGCTTTTGCTATTGGATTTATTGTTGGACCTATGATTGGTGCAGTATTTGCGTCAAGAGCTGTAAGATCAGAAAATTTCTACTTTTTACCTGCAATATTTGCACTGGTTATGGCAGCAACTGACATTGTAATTCTTATCTTCTGCTTTAAAGAATCTCTTCCAAAGGATAAAAGGGTAAGTTGACTTGAATTGTAAATGAATATCTGTGTATTTCTATGCATGTTATAAGGTTTTGCATTTAAACGTCAGAAAACTAAGAATATTGGAGGGGAGATGTAGAATTTTCATAAAGATGCAATTTTTCAGCTAAATTAATCCTAAAATTATTTAAATGTAATATGTTAAAATTTTGCAGTGTTTGTGCATATATGATATAATTGCACTATTCTTGTGTAATATTTAGACCTTACTAGATGGACAATTGTGCAATAAAACTAAAATATTTTAAATCTGTTATGAAAGCATGTGAAAGGTTAGCCCGCAAAGATTGTGGTTCTGACATTGTAACTGTTTATAACATTGTTCATTGTACAGTAACTGTTTATAAACCACTCTAAACTGCATCATTTCCAAATTAATCATTTGTGCATTGATATTGGCTATAAATGCTGACAAAATAAGTAATAAAATAAGGGAAACATTTTTAGAATTATTAATGATGTTATAATTACAGTGTTTGTTATACTTTCCATAGGCATTATAATAATGGGTTTCTAGAAATTCTGTGCATTAGATCTACTTCAAATTCAAAGCTTGACGTATTGAATGAAGTTGCTATGTTGAAACTTTGAGTATACACACCATGTGCGCATATATATATATGTCATAATAAGAGCAAAACAAGGAAAAGCCGGAACAGTGTCGATGCGTGCCTAGATCCATATTGAAGAAGAATTTTGATTGCGTAGTATTTAGAAAGCTTGGCAGTTTTAATTCCATTTTTATTTTCAATTGATATTTGTGGCCACAAGCACTTGGCACTCTAGTTGTGCCTTACCACAGAAGATTTACATTTTTGATATTGTTGGGATAGAAAGCAAGTCAGCGAAATTACATCTTAGCACAGTAGAGAGCAAAAGCTGAAGTGCGTAGTTATGCAAGATGGAAGCACGCGAAGAGAAAGTTTTGTTTGCATTCGGTGTGATTGGTCGTCAAGAGGCATCGGTATTAACGGTACGTAAGATCGCATGATTAATTTAAATGACGCCAATGCAGAGAAGTTATTACGATTTTAGAATAGAGAGGAAGAATTAATGTTTATAGTTATATATTAATTCTGATTCATACATTTTTATCTTACATATTTCCCCCTTCAAAAGAAAAAGGCGTAGCGACAGAGAAGCCTTTTTAAGAGAAAGAGTTAAAGCACTAGAAATGTTTAAATAAATAAATAATAATCAATAAATCATAAAATTTGTCATAAATTAGTTGTGCCTTTCCACAGAAGATTTACATTTTGATATTATTGGGATAGAAAGCAGCAGCGAAATTACATCTTAGCACAGTAGAGAGCAAAGCTGAGTGCATAGTTATGCAAGATGGAACACGCGAGAGAAAAGTTTTGTTTGCATTCGGTGATTGGTCGTCAAGAGGATCTGGTATAACGGTTAGTAAGATCGCATGATTAATTGAATGACGCAATGCAGAGAAGTTTTACGAGTTTAGAATAGAGAGGAAGAATTAATGTTTATAGTTATATTATAATTCGGATTCATACATTTTTATCTTACATATTTATATATATATGCACACACATAAATATATAAGATAAAAAAAATTAAATCAAAATTTTAGCTGTAATTTGCAGTAGTTTTTTGGCTCTGCATTTTAGGTTATTTCTCCTTTTAGTTGTAACAGTAACTGTTTATAAACCACTCTAAACTGCATCATTTCCAAATTAATCATTTTTGCATGATTCTTAGATAACTAATGATGCCGATACGTACCTAATTTGGCAGTCCAAATTTGAAATTAGCCATTAGGTATGAAGTGTAACTGAAAACAAATCATTTTGAATCAAACTTTCATGTTGAACATATTTCACTATCATTATTCTGCTGCCAACATGATGCTGATTGTTTCTGTTTGTTTTTTCAAATGTGTTTAAAAATGCAAAAGCACCAATGTAGTTCTTCAAGATCAGGTGCACAGATTGCTTCCATGGCACTATGTAATTATAGCTCAGAATGTTGTTCTCAAGAATAAAGAAAAAAAAAATGGTACTTACAAATTTTCATAACCACCTTAGCAAAACTGCCAGGTTTCAGAATGCACCAAACTGGCAAATAGACACACAACATTTTTTAGGCAACCATAATGCATGACGATTCAATTTTCATGTGATTTTTTTTATTCTAAATTTCGATGGTTTTTATGGATAAATCATGATATTTTTTGGCTTAAACACAATTTTAAAAACATGCGTGTGAGATTGGAAGAAACTATGATTGAATTTCTACCATAATACAGTATTTTGCCATAAAGTCGCTAAACAATTGTTTTGAATCTCTTCTTAAAGCAATTGCTACGAAATCCACCAGAATGAAAGAAACAAAATTCCTTTCGTAAGTAAGTTTATGAATTGCTTTTAGGATAAATACTTACTTAAAATGTAAAATATATTTGTATGTAATAAATTCTTATTTAATTTATAAGACATTATTCTTCTTCCGTAAAATTTGCCATGCTATGCAAAGGTGGTTGCATTAATACATGAGTATAAAAAAATTGTGAATTGTTAGTTCAGCATGAACTGCGATATCTCCAGATTAGCTTTCTCTTTAGTGCGCTTTACATTGTGTTGTGTTTAATGTTCTTAGTAATTTGAAGTGTAACTACTGATTGTACTCTGTGGTACTGTGAGCATCTGTATGAGTATATCTGTGAAAAATTCCAGAACTTTGAAGTGTTTCATTAGATAAAAATAAATTGTATTAACTTATCATCTGACCTGTGTGCATTCAATCTATTATGAACCCATATATATGTAACAATATGTTAAATTGGCCACCACAACTTCAACAACTACTTATTTTATACATATATATGTATTTTAGTTACAAATTTTATGAGAGAGGTAATTATGATTATGAGATTTAAAAGTTATATATTTGTAATCTGTGGAAAAACAGGGTATCATAATTTTGATAAATAAGAACTTCCTCAATATTTTTTGTTGTGTCTCAGGTTTACTATATATGTATGCAATGATATTTTCAATTTTACTATACTGATGTATAGAAATATTACTGTAAATATATATATCTTTCATAAACATCATTTTAATGTATGAGATCATTAATTCTTCATGTATACTTTATAGATGCCTTGCATTTATTATGAGCTTACTAAAGCTTATATTAAGCCTTTATTATAAAATCCCCTTCATTTCAAATTTTATGTTTTTGTGGAGTCATTAAAATCATTAATTTATGTTAACTATTTTTCGGATGTTTGCTATTTGTAATATTAGTAACTCAAGTAACTCAGTTTTTGCTGAAGTAGTTCCATAATGAGTAAGAATTTTTTCCACATATTAAATACATTTTGATAACTAGCATGGCTATGTTTGTAATATAATTTTAAAATTTAAATATTATTAACATACTTATACTCAGCTTTGTTTTTACTTGGTTTATTTATATAATTCTTTTAATAAAGCCTTTTTGAAAAACTAAAAAAGCTATCCCCTAAAAATAAATAAACCAGAAAAGAGGACTTCATGATCTTTCAGTATTTTCTAAGTACTGATATTCCCCTTCTCCAAAGAACCAGTAATTACATGCTTGTTCAGAAACTATTTGTAATAGTTGTTATTTACATGTAATTTCACATATTATCATCATTCTGTTGAAATGTTTGGATTTTGATGTCATCTGAACTATCCCAAAATTCTAATTAAAATTTTATGAATATTTTGAATGCTATATTTTTGTCTATTTTACAGGCCTCCTCTATTGGGCAAGGTCTTGCAGAGGCATATCAATTTATTAATCCTCCATCATTGTTTTCATTTAGTCCTGTGATAGATATTCAGCCAGAAGGTTTGTAATAATTATCTCTATTATTTCTTTTATGTGATGAATATAGCCATTCTTCATATGATTTCTCGAATATAAATTTTTAAAATTTTACTTGTACATTTTCTGAAGTGTGAATTATATATGAAGTGTTAAAAAATTAGAGGCAGCAATACTGTGAATATATTTTATCCATTGGAAAAATAGTTTCAGATGGACTGCATATATATGACATTATCACAAGTTGTACATACTTGTAGTGGTTTTATTGCACTAAATGTGAAATATGTCATTGTCCTTCAGATATTTATGCTGTTTAATTGTATAGATTACTGTGACCAAAAGGATGAATAATTTTATATGTGAGAGACAGTATTTTTGGATTTTCTTATTCAATATTTAGAAAACTTATGATTTATTTATAAAGATAAATAATCATAAATAATTAAAATTTAATGATCATAAGTTGGAATTTATGGTTATTTAAATTTTAAACAGGTGTTCAGTAACATGTGAACAGACAGCTTAGGCAAGAGTAGAACCTTTGGTAACCAAACAAGTTAGTACATCCATAAAAGAAAATTTTACATTCATTTACTGCAGAGTATAAATTCTATTTCATGAATATAAAATGTATAAAGATAATTAATTCTTAACCATTTATTTCTATTCTAATGAAGTGAATTGAATAATTTTTTGTTTGAACATTGGACCATTGTCTCTAAACTATAGCAAAAATTGTTTGTCATGGCAAATTTCTTTAAAGCATAATTCCTTCTTGTTTTATACCAAATGCTGAGCCCAAGTGAAAGGTTAGCAGATAAGGTTACAATGCACTGAAGAATCTAGAATTTCTCCAAAAGCTTTGCTTTGGGGAATTTACAAACATTTTGCCTTGAACTAGACAGAAATGTGCTATTGTTGAAATTTTATGCTGGGATAAAGAGATAGAAATTAAAGCAGTTTTATAAATAATATTTTAATAAGTAATGTCTAAAATAATATTAAAAAATTAAAGTACTCTGTTGTTGTTGCTTATGCTCACTTGTCTGGTGTAGTCAGCTCAAGCCCATGGAATTCCTCGTGGCAAGGCGCGCTAGATTACGCCTGCTGTTGGCAACAGCCTTGAGCACCTCAGAGGTGACAGTGGGATTTTGCTCAGTTCCGCCCTCAATTTTGACAGAGAGCACCCCTGGCGGATGGGTCTAAGGGTCTCCCACCCCTCTCCTCTTCCACCAAACCACACGAGAGGACTTTCGGCTCACCGCATATTTAGACTGCTGTCATGCCGCACTGGCACTATACATTTACAGATATTCATGCCTTCTCCGGGATTCGAACCTGAGCCTTTCGGCACAGCAGTCAGGGACGCTAACCACTATACCAGTTGGGCAGCTAAAGTGCTGTGTACATGATAAAATTCATAATTTAAAATTGCTGAAATATGTTGCATGAAAGAAAACTTCCTGTGACCTTTAGATTATTTGGTTAATGCAGATCAATTGGCTGTTCGGTTGGACTGTACCTGGTATTTTAAATTTAAAACATGAAATGTATCAACACAGCATATTAGTTTCTTTCACATTTTCAGCTATTTCACCCAAATAAATTATATCAGTGACTTGATATTACAATGATTTTTTTTTATACTTATGTAAGGAGTAAGTTTAGGATGTATGTTAAACTTCTTCACATTTGGAAGCTTTTTTAATAACTTTTAAATCTTCATGATTATTGTGATAAGTTTACAAGCAGGAAATGGACAAATATTGCAGTTTACAAATATAAAGTTTTGTAGAATGTTCCTACAAAATATTAAAGGCAGTGCAGTTAAATCTAAAGCAAGTTACTTATTAGAAAACTCATTATAAATGCATATAATCTCATTCAAGTTCAAATTACAGTTGCATAATAATAATATTTTTAAGTATGAGTTTTGCGTAGATATGGTAGTGTATATATTAGATGTTTTAAATTCAAATAATTACCAATGATTTTTTCATATTTTTCTTATTTCATTTTGCAAACTTGATTTTTATATTAGCATTACTGATATCTTGGGTCTGACATATTATGAAATACTAATTCAGAAGTCAAACAACAAAAATCAGCGTTATTTTTCAAAAATCAGTGTTAATTTTGTAAATATAACGCTGATTTTTGTTGTTTGACTTCTGAATTAGTATTTATTCGGCGTGTTATTGTGTCTTAATATTATGAAATGTTTGTAATTAATATATATGGGAAATTAAGAAAGTTGAACTTGATTATTGTAGACCAAGAGAGTTTTAATGAGTGGCATATTGAAATACGGTATGACAAGGGTGCATTTATAATCTTTGTAAACTCTTGTGTAAATAATCAATTTATCTTTAATTTTCTTACTGACAGAAACCTGATGTTCTTTGAGCCAATGTAAGACTGCCGTTTGTACTTGTTCATAGGCAAATAGTACCATAATCATTGTCATAGTACTGTCACAGGCAAATTCTGAAATTGTCCCTCTGCAATTGTTTCAAATCAGAACATGCTGTACAGTGTCTTTAATTAGTCGACACTGATGGCAGTTCTTGCCAATCAGTACCAATCAAATCTGCTCAGGCTTGTTTAGATTTCTAGTGTTTTGATGATAGCTCTATCTTCATAGTTTAAGGATCAAACTTGGTAGAGTTAAAATATTTTGCATTCATAAATTGTCCTGTTTCTCACATTTCAAGCTTAGTGTAAGTCTGCTGGTAACATGCCACTGGCCATTGGGATATAATGAGCTCTTACTATTATTCAATGAAATTATTTTTGAAGGAAGGTGTGGATATAAGCTTTATTCTCTGCATATATTCCTTTTGTACAGTTGTGGTAGGTGAGGACAATTGATTTAGTTTACTTTTTGAATCTCTGTCACATGATATTAAAATATATGGTGTACATTGTTGTTTTCTCAGTTGTTCACTCTTAACACTTTGCGGCACAGTGTGTCTGGTCTGGACACATCTAAAAATTTCCTTCTGTGGGCACAGAAAAATTGAATGAAAAAGGATTTATAGGTTACTATAGGTTACTCTGAACCTTCTTTATTTATAGTAGAGGGCAGCTCAACACAAACCGGTCCATATATTTTAGCCACGTTTAGTTTTTTAAGACCCTCATTTTTCAAAGAAATCTTCCAGATTCTTTTTAGGGTGTAAAAGGAATTGTTTGAAGAGAAATTTCTCTGTTATTTTCTTGGCTGTATGCTAATCTCCTTATTATATATTAGTTTAAAATTTTTACCTTGAAATCTTGCTTAAAATCAAACAACAAACTCTAGGTGTGCCCAGACCGGGCTCACCGATAATCTAGGACAACTGAGAGTCTGTATTCTTTGTTTCTTCGCATCTCATTGGTCAGTTCATTGACAACAATGCTCATATCAGCACTCTTTTCGAAAATCTATTCAATCAGTGTGCCCTTTCTGGGCACACCTGGAGAATTAAAAGATAAGTTCTATCTTCACAAAATTTTACTTGTGTACTCCTGTAGGCCTAATTAGAATGCCTACCTTTTTTTTTTAATCAAAACTCCAACTTTAATAGGTAGAGTGCCGGAAAGGCTTAACTAGCCGTATAAACAATTAATACTTTTTTCATGTTCATTAAAAAGTTTTTCTCCCTCTTATTTGGATTTTATTTCTATTATCCAAACATTTTTACAGACATTGCTGTTTTAGGAGTAAGTTTAGGATGTATATTGCTATTCTTAAACCAGCGGTTTCCAAACTTCTTGTCTCATGAAGTATTTTTCAGAATCGATTTTTCTAGTGGAGGTCTTTTTTGTTTTACAAGTTAATGATGTGGTTTATTTTACAAGTTAATGATGTTTAAGAATAGTATTATAGAGGTATGGAAAAGGTGTATATAATAAGTGAATATCTAAACAGCTGTGCAATGTACATGAAAGGTTAATTATATTTAAAAATTTATTTTTATTATTATTTTTATTTTTTATACTTGTATAGGTAAGAATGCTCTTTTACCGAAATATGCAGTTGAGAAAGACAGCTGCATTAATATTGCTTTCTTATTGAAGTTGTTGGCAACGAAAAACCTTGGTAGACTCCGGTTTCAAAACAGGATTTTTAGTTTTCTGTGAGATGGCAAATCTATGAGGATCTCATTTATGGTTAGGCTGAGTAGGTTTTGCCTGTTCTAAATGCCTTTAGTACCCATTCAAAATCTCTCAAGTACTTTCTCTTAGGGTGACAAACAGTAAAGTTCAAATGTATCTTTCAAAGCTTCGGGATGCACCTGAGTATTTCTGTAGTTTTCTTGAATCTTGATGTTATTTTCTTCCAAGATGGTTTCTGTAAGGACATGCAGTAGTTTTCTTCCTTTTCCATGCAGTCCAATCAATACTTAAATTTCTTCTTTAAACAAGTGAGACCTTAAAAGACACTTTGACAGTAAGTTAAAGAAGACACTGACATTTACATGAAAAACTATGCCTTTTTTTATCTTAGAAATATTGATTCATTTTACTTCCAATAAAATGTGTGTAATATCTGTAGATATATGTATAGTTGCCGTAAAATGTCTGTAAAGTGCCTGATAATTTTTTAGTCTTGTAAGGGCTGATTGCAGAAACATAATCAAGGTAGTACTATTTAAAGAGCATTTTCAATGCCAGAATTTTTGTTTTTTTATAAGGTGTTATTTTGTATATTAAAATTATTGAATATCTGATTTATAGATATGTATTTTCTTACAGAAAAGAGAGCTTTACAGAAAATTGGGTTAATTTATTTTCTATTCTTGTTTATATATTCTGGATTGGAATATTCCTTAAGCTTTTTAACGCACATGCGATTTATGTTTACAAGGTAAATTATATTTTTTTCTTTTAATTTCATATCGAGAGGTTTTAAAATGCTTTTTTAGCAGAATGCTTTATATTTTGATTTTTAGAGATATATTTAATCTGCATATCACTAATTGTGTATTATTCAGATTTAAGAATACCATTGTTGGAGTGAACAGTGTGAAATTTACAAATATTGCCAGAAACTAGCAAAACTATGTTTTGATGCAGAATACTTATCATTTATTTTTTCAGATTAATATTTAAGCAAATTCATTCATTAAAAAACTTATTAATTAATATTATAATTCACTTATTAAGTTAAATTTAAGAGGACTTTTGGCTCACTGTTTATTTTGAGTGCCCCTTTGCTGCACCAACATTATAGGCCTTTAAACATCTTTGCCTTCACCGGTATTCCTGGGCCCTTCAGTATGACAGTATGCATCGCTAACCTCTATACTAGCTGGGCAGCTTATATGACTTCACAACATGATGCTACCCTGTAAAAATTGTTTTCGAGGTTCTTGGTACCAAGCAAGGTACTATATTTGATAATGCATAATTAGCAGTGGCATATAAGTAGGACATCAACTTCTGGTGTAGCTTAGTAGCTATATATGTATGCCATGCTTTGCATTCACTAACATTTATTAGGGCTTCTATTGTCTTGTGCCAACAGTACACGAGTGATCTTCATTTTGAAGGCTGACATTTTTATTTGGCAGTTTTAATACTCTTTTGGAAAGCCAGTTTTCCGATTTATTCCTTGAGTGATTTGAGTCTATTAAACTTTTCACAGTGATGCCAGTGTTCACTTTTGATTATGCTATTTTTAATCTTTTTATAATCTTTTGCCTATACAGACACTTACTAATATATGTATGTGCTATAGTTTTCCATTTGGGAACTATTTATATAATATTATGATTGCTGATTCGACAGAAAATGCCTAGGAAATTTGACACTAAGTTGCATTATCTATGGTATTAAATGAGTTAAGAAAATTATGAAAAGGTACTCACATCACTTTTAAAGCATGGAACAGTATTGTTATTATTTTACTTCATTTTTTAAAAATTCTGAGAGTTTGTTATGCCACTGATAATAATGGTGATTTCATTTTATGTGCATCATACTTATTTTATCATCAGGTTATTGGGAATTTTTATGTTTGATAAGGGCTGAAAATTTTTATTGATTTATTTGTCTTTTCTTGAAAAATCACGCATTTTATTGCATTTCTTTTTTGTATCATTTAATTTTTAATCAATTCTTTTTATATATTTATTTTTTAATTTATTTTTCAAATTTTTGTGTTAGTATTAAAGGCTATCTGATTGATTTTTGCAGTTGATATTTTTAATAGAAGTAGATTTTTCACTTTAATAATTGTAAAAGCACAAGTTTGTGTGTATTTGTCTTTTGTATGTCTGTATAATTTTTGAAGTGATTTATGATTTTTTCCCTTTTTAAAGTATGCAACAAGGCAAAATGTACTTATTTAGTGGTTTGATAATGATAGTTATTCAAGGTAAGTTGGGAGCATTTATAATTTTCATTTAATTATTGAATAAATTAACTAACTGAAAAGTAAATAAATAAGACATATTAGTAAGAATATTATTTTTCTTTTTTATTCAGGTGGGTATGTACGAAGGATACCAGCAGGAAAGGAAATTGGATCAGCAGCAGTAGTGAGTATTTTTAATTTAAACCTGATTTTTAAACAGTGATCATTTATATATTTTTTAAATTTTAGTTTTATATTTTATATGGATTAAAATGTTGCTAATTTGTTTTATTTGGTTTTACCAGAAATGTATTGATTTGACAAAATTTACAATTCAGTTAACTTATTATTATTATTATTTTTTACATTTTCTGTATTTTTTCCTTTTCTTTTTTGTCTTGACTAAATCGATTAAATAATGTATGAAGTATTTCTTTAAAATTTGGTTTCCTTTGTTAAAAGTCTCTGAAAATGAGAAGAAAAAAAATTTCCCCAAAGAGTATTTATAAATAACTAATACTGCTATGAGTGCTTGAAGTTTGTTTTATTGAATAAAAAGTTCCTGCACTTTTTTCTGCCTTTAGGGTGCATTTCTGATCATTCCAGCTTTTGTACTTATTGGTATGTCAAAAAGCATAGAAGTACTGTATCTTGGCCTAGCACTTTATGCATTTGGTAAGCATTTAAATACTTTTCCGTGAGAATCATCTTCTATAAAATAGAAAACTTAAGCAACTTATTTTGTGTGTGTATTTTGTATAATTATAAATAATATACTGTATATAATAACGAAGAAAAAATCTCCATATTGGAGGATTTTCATTCAAAGAATCAGAAAAACAGTTATGGATAAAATGAATTTCAGCTAATTGGAAGTTGGTGCAGGCTGTATTTTCTAATCTTCTGCACCGCAGATGCCTTATTTAGCTAGTTTCAAGTGTATCTCCTTGTAAATCATAATAGATTTAAAGGACTGAATTGTAGACAGTTGAGTTGAAATAATAGCTTATGAAACTGTGTGTATTTATTTCTGAGCTAGCAATATAACTCTTGCACATTAAACTGTATTTGAGTGAATCTATGTGTAAATTAATTTTTGAAATTAAACATACATGAAATTTAGCTTTATTCTAAGTAAATATAAATTCGATATACTACTTGAAAAATTAATAAATTTCATAATTACAATGATTTCTATTTTTGATAAAATGTCATAGGTAATGCTTTTCATATTAGGTGCAAAATAATTTGTACTCCAGATATAATAATGAAAGAAAGCATTTTCAAATTCTGCTATGTTTTAATTAAGTAAATGATAATCATTAAGTTGAAAACAATAGAATTTACTTAAAACATTTCAGTAGTTGTATTAACATAATTTTATTTAATTAACTAAAGCAAATTTGTGGCACTTCGTAAGGTAAGAAACAAATAACACAAATTTCCAAATATTTTTATTACATTAAAAAATCAAATTACGTATTAGTACTAGAGATTAAGTATTGCCAATATACTTTGCTAAATCGATCTCATACTGTAAGGTCATTTTATAGTCACTTTACTGGAAATGAAATGGATAATCACTTACTTGCCTTTAAAAAGTTGCACAGTGTAACAGAAGCGGTTGGGAATATTATTGAAGGAAATAGTAAAAAGTGTGAAATTTATAGTCTACTCTCGATTGTTGTTAAAAGTAACTATTTCTGCTATACCAAGTGATAATATTCCGCATCTGGTTTTAAGCCTCTCTGATCTCTCAGGTGTCTGAAATTTTTGTACCCAGTTAATCTTGATTTTGTATGCTGCATAAACAGAAGCAGCGGGCTTCCCTTTTTCAGTTGTTTGTTTTGAAACAAACAGTCTGTCATAAATCATCCTGTTTTATTTGTCATAAAGCATTTATTGTTAAAATTTGAGATTGCTATCATTTCTAGAGCCTTCATATCAATCTGATTTTTTAACGTTCGAGTTCTTTCTGCATTATAATCATGTATAAATATTTTCCTTCTTTAACACATTTTATTTTCAGCATCGGCAACTGTCGTTCCCTGCTTAACAACTATTGCCTCCAAGTTTGGATCTTCTAGACAGAAAGGCACAGTACTTGGAATTTTTAGATCTCTTGGGTCATTAGCAAGAGCTTTTGGGCCAGTTGTTTCGGCCATTGGTAAGTATCAGCCTTTTTTTTAATTAGATCTAACAATTATTTTTCTCATAAAGCATTAATTTTGGATAAAAAATTATGATATTTATTCTGTGTAGAAAGTTATTTAAATATTAGCAATGTAATGGAGTTTTAGCATTATTATTGTGTGTGTACATATCCTCATAAAGTTCAAAGTCTGAGATCCGGGATCATAGGGACTTCGGCGGTTCTAGATTTGGGTTTTTTTGGATCATCAGTTTAAATCTAGTAAGATGGCATACAGAAATTATAAAATTAAAAATATGAAATAGTGGTTTATGAAATAATCATGCATTTATGATCTAAGAGAATCAAAATTTACGAAAAAAATTTGAGTGTTTATTTATTTGCTTCACAGCTGTTTTTCTTATTGAAAGAAATGTTCAAAATATGAACATCATGTAAGTTGTTTAAGTTGCTTCATTTTTTTATGTTAATACTTTCTCTTTAATTCTACAGATAGATAGACATAATTTTATGTTCAGTTACAAAACTTTATTGTTTAAATCCTGTAATTGTTGTGTTGAGAATTCCCTCTTAATTGTCAATTGAATTTTTTTTTTTGTTCTTAACAGCTTCTCTGGATTTAGATGCATATTACAGATTTTTCTGTCCGTTAGTTGACTGATGATTGGGGGTTTGTCTTCGCAAGAAAAACTTTGGTTACATCATCATTTATTGTCACTTCTTAACAAATTACATTTATTGGAAAATTCTGCTTTTATTTAGCAGCATCCAAAACCCTCATATCTATCATTACAAATCTTAGCTAGCTTCTGTTATACATTACTGGCAATATATCATCAGATTGGTGGCTAAAAATATGTTTTTTTTTTTTGCTAAATTTTGCCTCTCTTCTATCGTTCATTGACAAAGTTAAGCCTGAATTTTATTACTTTGCTTATTTATTATACTTACACCTATTTCCAACACGTGTGAAGCTTATCTGAGTGCCGAATAAATAAATCTCCACGTATACTTAAGACGTTTTGTGTCCCTGTGCAGTCTCTGCAGGACCGAAATTCTGTTGCCAAATATCTCTTTAAATTAAAAAAACGTTTGCTGTCCCTAAATGTTTTTCATGTGCACATTCAAATCTTCGAGTGCAATTAGCTGGAATCTGTAATCACTGGCAAGCGTAATGTCAACAAAAAAGGTTACCAAACTGCTTGGTATTCAATTACTAATATTAAAGAAGAAAAAAAAAAATATCTATTGCTGGATGGATCATTTCTAAAGTTACTGTGTTTTTATAGCTATGCAAGGATGAAAGGAGGAAATAATAATGCACCAGGTTGGCTGCTGGGATATAAATTATTCAGTAGGTGTAAAAACAATCATATTTTGATGGAGATTGTTTTAATTCGAGATGTATGCCAAGCAAAAAGATGAGAACCAAATTATTTATCATACATATTTACGCTAATAAATGATTATTTTCTTCAGTATGGAGGTATTTTATTTAGCACCGAAGTGAAATTAAGAATCAGGACTCTCAACATATTTTATTATGAAAAAATATCAAATGCACATTCATAAACCATATAAAATTTCTTTAAAAAATTGTTGATTGTAGTGTGGAGGTTTAGATTTTAATCATTCTGGATTTTGACTTCGTACTGTATATGAAAAGGTCTTAATAAAAATCGGAATGATTTTCTTGTCACTGAATTTTTTTCTCTGAAGACTATTATTTCTCTTACAGAAAAATCAAGTATTTCTTTCAAAATAAATAAAATATGCATTATCATATATCAGTGTACTTTAATTTATTTTTCTAAATACATCCTGCACTTCTATTTTTGTATGCATTGCTTTATTAAGTTTTTAAATTTTTAATTAAGTAAAATTAAATCAACTTTTATCATCAAGCCCTAGTAAATAATATTTTAAAGCAGTTTATATGAGCACACTTGCCATCTCTTACAATTCAGGTGGAAGACTCTTAATTTTTGATCGCATTTCTGCCTCCTGAATTACAACATATTTATCCCAACTTTTTCTTATTTCTAAATATTTGCCCAAATTTTTATTGGATCAGTTTAATATTTCACTATTTTCACCTCAATATTCTATTGCCAGTGTATAAAACCATTTACTTTTTCTTTCGATTACCCATATTTAAAACAAGAAAAAGTTTTGTCTAATGGTACTGCTATGTGTGTGAAAGTAGATGTGCCTGAAAATGTCATAATTCAGTTCTACAGCAGGCATGAAGTCCAGCTGCAAGCCATCTGAGGTGCAAAGTAAGAACAAAACAGCTCTGTACATTTCTGGAGTTGCTATGTGATGGGAATTTCATATGCTTTGTTGAATGCTTGGTCTTTTATTTTAATTATATCTATGGAAAAAGTAAAGTGCTCATCTAGTTTTCAGAAAAATGCGTACAGGTGACTTTACTTGTATTATTTCATCAAGGAAATATATGTTTACAATGTGAGCTGTTCAGTTTTTCAGTTTTCAAATCTCACATGGTGGAAGGGTGGATGGAATAAAAGTACGTGTACCCCAAAATCACAAGGGCAGTAAAAATTGTATTAGACCAAAAAGGACCAAATAATAGGAAATAATAATTAAAAAGAAAAGAAAGGACCAAAAAGTTTGTTTAATGCTTAACAATTATTTTAATTAATTAATTAATTTTATTAATTTATTTATTTACTGCTTTGTTTATGGGAGCACAATCTGTCGCTGGATGTCTGTGATCATGAGTGTTGAGTTATATATAGAAAAATGTTTACAAATGGAAATATCTTCAAGAAATTTTCACATGCAAGAACAGAAATGGCTGTAGTTAAAGAAATGGGTATAAAAAATAAATCTTAATTTGCTAATTGTGTTAAAATATGTAAATTGGAAAATTACATAATAATCACTTACACACTCTAGAGCAGTAATATGTGACATAAATAAAATTAATTTTTATCCTGATCTAAAAGCTTTTTTTCTACTCTCTTAGTTGCATGCATTGAATAGTTTTTAGTATATGAGCATTTTTGTACTAACTGCATTTAAAACTTATAACTGCATTTAAACTCTTTAAGATAATTAAATAGCATTTATTTCTTGTTAGTTAAAAAAGGAATTCCTTTTTTTTTTTTGGTATATTTTTACTGTTAAAACTAACTTTTGCCAGTGAATAATTCTTGTCATTTCTTAAAAAAAGTTTCCTGATTTTTGAGTTCGGAAGGTCAGCTTGTCTGCATGAGCAGTATAAACATTTAAAACACATTCAATGTAATGATTGCATAGAATCAGCATTGCATTTCAAATATTTAATTGTTTTTTTTTTTTTTTTATTTATCTTCAGGTTTTTATGTGCTGTACTCATTTTTCAGAATTATAAGATTTCAAAGCAACAAAGTTACCTCTTCATAAACTAATTTTGTATTTGTTTTCTCGATAATATATCTAATTGATGTATAATAAAATATATTTAATTCATAATATATTCAGAAGATTTGCAGCTTTATTTTAACTAATGATGAATACTGATTCTGCAAGAAACATAAAACTTTTAATTTATATTCCCTTCATGTTTGTGCATAGACAGATCACAAAGCATTGACTTTAAAAGTTTTTTAATAAATAATAAAATTTTAAATTTAATTTTCAAATTTTAATCAAACTGCTATTGATTCACAAACTGAGAGGCCTAGAAGCATTAAATACATCTGATATTTGGAGTCTTACTTTTTAAAAATAATATATCTAATTGAGGTAAATGAAAATACCTTTAATTTATATGTCCAACTGATAATTTTTGTAAACATCTGCAGCTTTGCTGTAATTAATAAAAAATGTTTTTATTGCCATAAATTACATAACTAGTACTGAATTAATTGTTTGTTAAATTTTTATAATCATTTAAATTTTTTGATTTTTGAATCATTAATTTAAATTTTTAATGGCAAATGCTTTCTCCAAATGTATATTATAATCTGATGTTTTCAGATTTACAATTGTTTACGTATTTTATTTAGTGTTGCATAATATTATGTTATTGTTTTTCTGTGTGATTTTTAATTTAATATTTGTTTCCCTTTTTTGTCATTTAAAATCTTCATGAAATTTATTGTGCATTATAAATGTAATATGTAATTATATGAATTATAATGTCTTTAGCATATTGGAGTTTGACTCCTACAGTGTCATACTGCATTGGTGGAATTCTACTCATTGTGCCACTGATTTTGATTTTAAGTTTGAGGAAAGAATTATCAAGACAGACAGTGAAAGAGGACTGATTTTTAAATGTATTTGATACTGATGTTTTTGACCAATATTTCTTGGGTATTTACATAAGCAAGTCTTTCTCATTTTTTTTTCTTTTTTGTAAAATATATTTTACTATTTGTAAATTAAAATATATTCTATTTCTTGAAAAGTGTAGTCAATTATATCTTTCCTAAATCAGTAAGTATTAAAACTTCTATTTCCCTCTAGTAAATTAAACGGGAACAGATTATACAAGGTTTAGAAATCTCGATATTAATATGCAATTTATATACTAAAATTGAATATTCTTTATTTCCAATTTATACAACAAAATCATATTTTTTATTATGTTATAATCTTATCCAGTCTTTAATTAGAAAAAATCATATAGTGAAATAAAATTTTGGGCAAACTAGAATTAATCTTCAGTTTTACTATGCATTAAATATTCATAAATGTAAGAAACATATTTAAATTTAATTTAATTAAAAATTAAATTTTTAGATTTTTGAATTGTTTTAGCTTTTCAAACACTGAACCTTACTTGGTATATCTAAACATGTTTATTCAATGCATATCAGTTTCACATTAATATTATGCTTAATTTTGATATGACTTATGCTAAATTTCTCTTTCTTTTGTTAGCCTGAAAGGGCAATTTGTCCAGAAGGGCTATTAATTTCGTTTCGGCATTTTGCGTTGATTCGCTATAAACGGCAAATCACTTTTTAAATTTTTGCCACCAAATATTAGAGCCCTATATTATAGTTAAAGAAGTTAAATAATGAAGAGTCTGCATAAATGTATGCATCTTTCTCACATTGTGATAAAACAACAGTACCTAGAGCCATCAAATTTTGAATAACATACGTCTCCACCTGAATTGGGCACGTGGAAGTATCAGAAATTCTAAAGATATGTTCTTTTATATGTTTTGTGATATTACTGTTGAATTAAATTTTATGGTTTAAGTGCAAAGAACATGATTTTAATAAATAAAAGTAACACACAAAACGTTAAAAAATGCCACTTTGGGCGTAATATAAAATCTGAAAGCTTTCAGATTTTTTTTAATTCATTGTTTTTGGTTGGTACTGCTGTGACGTATGAGTAAAAGTTTGATACACCTAATTAGGGTAAAACATATAGGCCTTATGCTGTTAATTAATTTCTAGCTGAAGTATCAGCAGTTGCTGTGGTTTTATGCAGAGTGAAGAGGTTAGGGGGAATGAGAGTAGCTTTTCCATATCTGAAGTAGACCATGATTTTCCTTTTGCTTTCTTTTCAAGGTAAATTGCGCAAAATTTTACCAGACTGTAATAAAACTGTAGAACTAACACAGCGCCACGTAACTGCTTCAGTAAGAATTGATACTTACTTTGTTATCTGATATGTCTTCAGAAAACAACCATCCACATTTGCCTATTTCTTCATTTTTTTTTCGAAATATTCAAGAAAATCTGCTATGCACTTAATTTCTTCTTTAAAGATTCTAAACTGTTCTACACTGTCCTAAACAGTAAACGAACACAGCACCCTCAGTGGTTTTAATAAGAACTGATAGCCGGAGTGCAACAACAGTGATGAACTGTGTAGAAATTTTAATACTGACATTTGTAAAAAAAAAAAAAAAAAAAAAAAAAAAAAAAAGTAGTTAGAAATTCCTTGTTGAGCATGTATAACTTCATGCTCAACAAAGAATTTTAACTGATAGCAGGAACGCAGGAACGACAACATGAACGTAAAATAGGGATTTCAAAATTGAAACTGTGTAAAAATATTAATGTTTACCTTTTGTTAAAAAAAAACATAACACCTTGCTTAGCATTATCATGAGTATCATGTATGCAAAATGGGTATCACAAGTGCACCTTTCTAATGTAAGCGTCCTGAGTATGAACCACGTGATGTAGTTTTTCGAAATCTTATGCCTTTATTTAGAAGATGAAACGTGAAATTTCGGCGAGATCGGTATATAGCTGTAGATTTGTACAAATTGCACAAGCACAGACAAACAAACGGGCACTCTTCTTTGTATTGTGGTGTAGTGGCCGAAACCGCTATGCAAACCCTGGGTTGTGACATCAGGTTCAAAACAAAACACAGCATAAAAATTTTATTGAACGCAAAAAAAAAAAAAAAAAAAAAAAAAAAAATGGCTACATACAATTCTACAAGAGAGAAACTTACTCTTTTCAAAAAATCAAATTCTATACCTTTTACCTGCCAGAGCAATTCGTGGCTCTCGAGCTTGCGTTTTTAACATTGCCAACGATTTAATTATTTTAATAAAGACTATTTTAATAACTATTGAAAACGTATTTGTAAGTTAAAAAAATAATAATTTTCAGCTTATGCTCACGAGACATCTTTGTCCATATAAATCTTCAGTCTCTTCTTCTTTTATGTAACCTTATCACAGCTCCTCCTCTCATAAAGAAATTTTTTTTGACTATGGAAGGAAAAATTCTAAATACATTTCACTGCTTTCAAAACACAAGTGGTAACCATTTAAGTGATAATAGAGAAGCCAGTTAAATTACCCTGCACTTATTTCTAGATAACATAAATGCAAAAATACAACAAAAATATTTAAATTTTCAATCTACACAAAGTACCTTTTCAGTTTACAAAATGCTAATATTTAAACATTTGATTCTAAACATTTTGAAAATGAAACACACTATGCAAACAAATTTAAATCTACAAAAATATAATTCCAAAACGCTACAAAAATCATTTTTCAAACAACAGTTTACAGAACAAAAAGGATTGGCTCCTCCATATACTTCATATGCTAAAGTTCCTGCTGTCCGTAGATCTGATCTCGAATAATCAATCACTGAGGGACACTCTTCAACATTTACAACTATATTTGGATGAGGTCCCAATTTCTTTTTCCTGACTTTATGATTTGTCAGCTTATCCAAAGAAAACTCGCCAATGGCTGGTAATGTCTCCTTATACATTGCACACCATGTAGCATATGCATTTGATTCAGCATTCTAATTGAACATCATTTTTACAGCAAGGTTATTTGGAAGCAATTTCTCAGAAGAAAACGTCTTGATAGAAGTGGGTTTCGAATATTGAATTCTGCATATCTTGTGTTCCTTCAGTATGCGATATAATAAATTTTGTTTGGTGTTGAACATTATTATGATTTTCTGTTGCTTGTGCTTCCGAGAATTCTGCTGGCGAAACATCCGCAAGGATAGACCTTTCCTCTAAACTGATGTCTGGAATTTTAATGTTCTCCTCCGTATTACTGGTTAACTTCCTTTCTTCCGAATGCTCATTATTCACGGCCCTTTCATTTTCTATATCTTTCTTTTCTTCCGATCTGTAATCTAAATCTTTTGCACTCGCTTTCTCTAAACTCCTGCGTGTATGCGCCTGACTACGAGTCTCCACAGCATTCAAGAGAACCGGTCGTTCCCTAATTTCCTCAATCAATTGTGCAGTTTTATTCCCTAACAAATAGTACTCTTTATCTAACTCTACCGGAGTAACCGCTGCCTTTGTGGTGACCACCACCAAAATTCACCTTCAATTGGTGACTTTTCGCCAAAGGTAAACATTTACATTCTGTGTCCAAAGGCTGTTTCACCCATATACAGTTTTCCCCTAATAAGTCACTAGTATTAATCCAAGTACTATTAAACAGATCTATTACCAGCTTCAGTATCTCTCAGATATTCTCTCTCTATCCCATTAATTACTGCTTTCTTGAAATACGGCTCAAAGCATTTTCCTAAACTCTCCGTTCATAAGATTATTCACCAGATTAGCCTTATTCTTTTCCAGCGATGGACCAGTTAGGTCGGAATATGTCCTGTCCTTTCCACATTGGTAACACCTTATTTTCCGCTGTTTCTCGAAATGTCGCTTCATTGAAAAACTGCTCTTTTTTAGGAGCCTCCACTTTTCTATTCTCCTCCTGATTTAATTCTTTGATGACCACCACTTTTCTGATTATAACTACCAGTTAGAATTTCCATACCGCTCTCTATCTTTCTCAAATGGTTTCTTTAATCCCGCTCTTTGTTCTAACTTCCTCATATCTCTTCGCAAAGCCTCATACTTGTCGCATTTCTCTGCTAAAATGGAAGGGTACTTTTCCGTTTTGCCGGCGCAAGCGATAAAGTCGCCAATAATGGTACAACCGATGCCAAACGGAATATTCTCGCTGGTAACCTTTCACGCCTCATTTTCAAAACAAGTAGCTGCTTTTCCTTATCAGATTGATTGTTTCTTTCAATAGTGGCATATAATTACATAGAATTTTTATCAGATAGTTCAGTTTTATGTCTAAGGCCATTTTCGGTAATTAAGTCAATCAGGATGCAATCAAATCGCTTACCCGAAGCCGAAAATATAGAAAAGGTAAAGTCAAGGGTTAAATTCATCAATTCTAATGAGAATGCATTAGCGAAGTAAAGCACTGCAGTTTTACATAATTTCTGAGTAAGCTATTCGTACGAATTGAAATATTTCTTGCATTTAAACTTGCGTTCCAAATTAAGATTTAACTTGAAATTAATGTAGATAATTACTGAAAGCATTAGATTTTTGTAGAGTAGTTTACGCGAGATGAGATCGCTTGGGGTCACGTGATATGAACCGGCGAATCGGGATGTTGAACCATGAAAGCATAGTAAATTCTTAAATTAATGTCTTTTTACAAATTTATTGTCTTTATTTATTGGCTTTTTATAAAATTTTAAGCGATATTAAAATGTTTATGCCTTAAAAAAAAAAAATTCTTAGAACTAACATTTTTTTTTTTAATATTTTCTTATGTGTATACTGTATGTTGTCGCCAATAAAGTCTGCTTGGCGAGATTTGCGCCGGCCAAACGAAAAAGTACCAATGGAAGCTGTTTTAAATTCTTCCCAATTGTCTAAGTAGTGCTCTCTTATTTCTAGAGGGACTCGCCGCTTAATTTGCTCAGTGAGCATAAGTTCCTTAAGACTTTCAAAATCTTGAACTTCTACTGAATCCAACCAATTCTCTAAATACACTCTCAATTCATACAACTAAATCCACACATAACATTCCGTTTCTTCTAGAATGTTTCTTCAAATTTTGTTTTTAGTGCCCAAGAACTAAGCTTGAATCTCTGCATGAGTAATTTCTTAACATGCTGATAATCATCCCCTTTATCC